TTTTTTTAAAATTTTTTATGTTCTTGTTTGTGTTGATTTTTTATAGTATTTATAATATTTCTTTAGTTGCCATTGTGATGCTTGTTGATTTTACACAAACAATAATTTTCTTTATTATTATTATCATTGTTATGACTTTATATCATTTATGAGAGACAGCATTGAATAGACATGCTGAAGGAATATCAACTATCCTGATGACAAGTGAAATTAATACTAGTCTTGACACAAGTCCTTGTTCAAGAAGCTGTGAGCTGAGAGTGTCCATCTTCTCCTGCAATGTAACAGCTACTCCTGTTCTTCCAGGCTGTTGTCATTCATATTATCATTGTATATCATAACATTAATTAATTGTTTGTTTTTTAAAATAAAATAAAATCACACACTTGATAAAACACTAACATGTAAGATTAATACCTTCTTTTAGCTGGAAACCTCCACTAAAGTATTGCAGTAGTTGATTCCAAGCATAGCTTGGTAGAAAAATAAATTGCTTCTTCCAGAGCTGCAGATCTATAGTCTCGCGTAGCCAGACCACACCCTCCGTGCCATCCGGGATAAATGGGAGGGTGTGGTCTGGCTATTTGAGACTAGCAGATCCATAGATATAGATATTAGATGTATTTTATGTCGGTTGAACGTAGTGAATTAGACAGAAAATAAGCTCCCTAAGGATGCATTAGCATGACATCACAATTTGGGTTGTGTGGGTGGGTGATATTTAACGAAAGGCAGGGAAGGTATCTTCAATTCTAAGTCAATGTGCACACTGTGGTGACTGAGAGGAATTTGGTTACAGTAGATCAGGAATTGAGGATTGATCATAGTCCTACCTTGCTGAAGATATATATATTTTGTGTTGTTGTACCAACTACCAAATCTACAAGTCATCCCGAGATGGCAGAGAGATTAGAGGAGCTTTTAGCTGCTGTTAATGACTCGAGAACAGCTATGGAACAGCAGATCAAGGAGATAAGGGAGGACATCAAAAAGAACAAGGAGGAAGTAGCGGATACTGTCGTGAAGCGTGTCAAGCGAACTCTATCGCCGGAGTTCAAGAGGAAGGGCAACGAGAAGCAGTTCCGGTTCAATGAGGGAGTCTCAGAGAAGATAGAGGAGGCTGCAGCTGAACCAAAAGACTATTGCGATCCCCGATGGTGCGGCGACGGTTGCTGTTCCTGTCAATGTACTGGAGAAATCCAAACAAGCCATTAAGGAAGGTATGGATGCCATTCAAGAGAGGCAGAAACTCATACGTATTGCGGATCGCTCAGACTATGGCTGGGACGTAGTCCAGGAGTACATTTCCGACGAATTAGCTGCAGATAGCGACGACGAGAAAAAGTTATCAAAAGCTGAGAAGGCAGCTGAAATGAAGTGTCAGAAGAAGAAGAAAGCAGCTGCATATAGAGGAGGCCGCAATTCCGTGACACTGCAGCCGCAATCTGGTAGAAGTGATTGGTAGTCTCG